CAACCGACACCAGTGGCGCGTCTGCTGCCGTCTCCTAGTCGGATTGTCTGTTTAAAGTGTGTTTGATGCTGAGTTATCTACGGGGTAATGGCTGATTATGACGCGTGGCAGTGAAAGCCGCAAGGGAGCTGTCTCGCCGATGCCGCTTTATCTTTGCACGATAGCCAGCTGTTTGTGACGGTATGTTGTCTACACAAGGTGTAGGCGCCTTGACCCTGAATGTTTGCTTAGGGCATTAAGGTTTTCAGGTAGGTCCCCCTTCTCTCCCTCTTCTTATTCTTTATTTCATAGTTCTTCATGGTTTCATGGCAGCGAAGCATCAGTTCAAATGGCTGATGTACTGCTGTTGATGATGATGATGATATTTTTAATACACTACAGACGGCTTTGAGACGTGCCGTATGCCCTTACCGTATAATGACTGGGAAGGCTGGACCGGACGTCCTCGTTATTTAGCCCAGCTAGTTTGTCTGGACTTCTCGATGATCCCATGAAGCTAAACTAGCCGCGTACTGACCGCACGCCTAATATAGGACCATTAAATACTAGTCCGAGACGATGCGCCTGATTGAGCACGGATACCAGAACTCGGGAGGTTTAGACACGGCAGACTGTATTCGTGAATGGCTACAAACGAACTAAGACGAATAAAGCGAGTGGGAGCAAAGGTCATTCTTGTAGCACTAAGCGAACTAATGCTGAGCCGAATGTGGGCAAACTTGGCTGTCGTGTAATAGGCATTAAAACAAGTGTACAACAACGAAATAGTACGTTTAAGATAAGGTTGACTTCGTCTGATGCTACAGTGTTCTCCCCGAGAAGGCTGAGCAAACGAAGCCTTCAAAATCAAAATTGATGGGCAAATCGAGTTCCGCAAGGTGAAATCGTGCCGAGTAAAACGGAGTGCGAACTGCTCGTGTCGGAAGGGTTCGTCGAGATTAGGGGTCTGCTGTACCGTTTGTATTTTGTTATTTAACTGACTGTAGGACGGGGTGCATCTCGGCGAGACGTTAGGGCAGCCTTGTCGAACTTAAAATTACTGACTATTTTGGTGAAAAAGCCGACAGGGCCTCAACCTCAGCTGTTGCCAAACGATGCGCTTGGAAGTAGCCTTCCCCCACCGTACCACATTAAGTGTTCATGATCAGCAGTGTCCCACAGGATTCCGTCCTCGGATGCTCATCACTGACCTTCCTGCAACACTTCAAACCGAATGTATGCTATGTGCCGATGTCCTCATGCTGTGATCGGTAGTGTCTGATCTAGATTCCGCTGCTCATCGTCATCATCATTACACCTTAGCTGAAGGTGAGAAACACACTTCAACTATCGTGCCGCAGTACATAAACACAAAACATGAAAATGCAAAGTACTGGAAACTATAAAATACAAAAAACCGGCAACACACTACTTAGTAACATTCTGCATCAAGGGAGCGATCGTGGTTGGGGTGATGACTTTTTTCTGCTTTTATCGGTGGGGGGGGGGAAGCTAAGCGGGATTGGAAGAGACAAAGAAAGTCACCGCACAAACGCCATTGAGGTCGGCTTCTTGCCATGTTCACCAGCGTATCTAACCATAAGTGTTCATCGTCCTTCGGACCCAAGCCAGGCGATTGGGACACACCAACTGACGCCAACTTCGAAGTGAGTAACTTCATTCCTCCTGATCAACTCATCCCCTCTTTTTCTTCCGTCCATACCCTGGCGCGCAAACAACGCACGACGCGGGAGTCGGTGGGTTGGCATGCGCAACACCCTGCTCAGTCATCGGAGCCTAGTGCGTGATCGGACAGCGCTGAGCGGTTCACTCGCTCTTCCTGCACCAAATACACGACGCCGAACACGCAGTGCTCCCACCAGACATGTGCTAAGCTGCGAACGCAGCGATGATCGAACGTGACTAGCCTCATTATGTCTGTCGACTTGATGGGCCAGGCTTCGCAACCTTGCAGTAGGGTTGTACGGACGGCCGCATTGTAAACTGCCCTTCAGAGCGAAAGTGGTGTCGCATCGGCACCACAGATAGTGGACATTTGCGAAAACACCTCGAGCTTTTGCTATGCGATTTGTGATCTCATCTTCCATTCCACTGGCGCTGATATAGCTGCCAATTTCTGGACGACTTCTAGCTGATCCCCACCTAGGGTCAGCGCAGGGGTGGGTCCCTGCCAATCTTGGAGGACTTTGCACTTCTAGGGTGCAAAGCATAGCCCGAAACGGCTGATAACCAGTGCTTATTTGTCCAGTGCTACTTCTCACGTTTGAAAGCCTTCACAGATAAGGGCAATGTCGTCGGCGTAATCCAAGTCAGTTAATCGGTCAACTGGGAGCAGCTCCACGCCTTGCAGACCGTGTCCAGTGAACGCCGTTTACATGACCGTCATTGGTGAAGTTAAAAAGGAAAGGTGACAGATGGCATCTTTGTCTCAACGCTGGCGGCAAATGTTTGCCGTAAGACGTCGCTCTGCCTGAACCATGCGAGTAAAGCGCTCTGATAATGTTTACATTTCTTGGGCACACCTTTCCTAAGTAGACAGTTTCAAAGGGCACATCGATCAACCGAATTGAAGATCTCTTTGATGTTTAGAAACACGATTACGGTGGCTCGCCGGTAAATATGGCGATGCTCCAACAATGGACGTAATGTGAAGATGCGGTCAACACGGCCTGGACTGCAACGAAACCCATGGGTGTCAGTCAGTCTATGCATGACGGCAGAGGCGAGTACCTTACAGCCAATTGAGATCAGACTGACCCCTCTATGGTTGCCGCATTCAAACCGTGAGTCTCTCTTAGGAATTGGGACTATTATCTAACGGCCCCAGTCTTCTGGGACATTTTCCTGCTCCCACGGCTTCACAACTAACTTGTGCAGGTCATCTACAGGAGCAGCTCCCCTGAATTTGAAGAAAGATAGAGCGATTCTATCCGTTCCTGTGGCCTTATTTACTCTCAATAGTCTGATCTCACGTTCGACTTCTGCGCGTGAAGGCGGGTCCAGCGGGATGGCCCCGGGAGAAGGACGATCCATGACCGAAGGAGAAGCTGGTAACTAGTTGATTAAGCTGTTTTTCAGTGTTCAGCCTCAGGCTCCAAACCTTTTGACAAACTGCGGATTGGCCGTCCACCCTCGTCACGTATAATTTTGCTAACACCAGGTCTCCTGTCCGTTTCTCATATCAAACTGAAATACTTCCGATGGTTACCAAGAGCAGCGGTCATTTCCATCTCCGATGCATGGTGAGACCACCACGCGTCGCGGTCTCTCTTCAGGCTAGCACTCAGTTTCGCCATGGAGTCTTTACATGTCTCCTTGTGGTTGCTTCCAGCCGCGATGTGTCGGCGTGCATCCAAAGGTTCCAGAGACTGCATAGAGACCCAAAGATCACCTAAGCAACTTGATTTACCACATGAAGACATGCGTGCTACTAATAACCCCTATATTCAGTGAACGCTTACCCAGCCCGGATGCCAGCGTACTTTGATACACATTCAGGACATCTGGCTTCGCCACTTGGTAGGTACCTATGCACCCACAGCGACGCCGCTTGCGTCCGCCGAACTGTAATATCGGCACAAAGGAATTCGTGGTCTGAGTCCACGCTGGTGCCCTAAATTGAGCGACACTTTTGGACACAGCCACTCCAGGGGTGACTGATCGCGATGTGGTCGATTTGCGTCCATGGTTGTTTTTGGGGCGGGTGGACGCCATGTCACCCTTCTGTGGTTGCTGTGTCGGAAGTTGGTGCTCGCGAGAAAGAGACGAACATCTTCACACTGGTGTAGCAACCATCGCGACGAGACTGGACCTTACCATTGTGCGATGGTTTGTGTGTCTCTGGGATCCATTGAGCTATGCTGAGTGGCGCTGTTTGCACTTTAAGAGTCACTCATACCTGATTGCTCAATGGTTAGAGGCCAGACGAACTCAGTCTCCTAGCTCTCCAGGTTGGCGTGGGGGTGGCTGCTTACTCCATAAACGAACTCTGTAGTCCCAGAAGGTTGTTTGAAGGAAGAGTCACAACGTTGTATTGCGTGAGAAGGATACTGTCAGGTTGCCCAGGCCTAGATAGCAGAACGATTAGGTTCGCAACTAAAGCCTTTGATTCAAAACCAGACCGCAAGGCAGCGGGGTTTTTTGCACTGGACTACGGTATCCGTTTTATAGAGTAAGGAGCCACTCTCACTCCAACCCTCAACCTGGAGGGCCAGGAGACTAAGTTTGTCAGGCATCTAACCATTGGCCAGTCTTGTATGAGTGGTTTTGAAGGTGAAAGCGCACCACCTAGCATAGCCCAGTGGATCATTGAGGCACAAACCATCGTACCGCGTTAAGGTCCAGTCTCATCGCTATGGACATGAGGTCACAACTGAGGCTATTTACTTTTGCTCGGTTGTCGCCCTGTCTGCTTGAATGTCACACGACTGGAACAGTCTTTCGGAAACCATTGTCAATAGACAGACAGGGTGGTTCCAAGCGGCCTTTGGACTCCCACCCGTGTAGGACGCCGGGATCTCACTGTTTTGATGCGACTGTTCCAGCTCCCCTGTTTACTACATGCCTGCAATGCTCCCTCTGCTAAACTGAAGGTGACGGGGCTGACGTAGAACCACTCTGTTTTCCATAATTCAGTTTACTCACGGAGCAGCTTGCCGGAGCATCTGTGTGGCACATGGTTGGAGCGACGCAAGTGTGTTAAACGGAACCATGACCCGGATCGCTTTACACATGAATTGACAAAATAGGAACATCACTGACGTCGAGGTAGGGTGTGATAACTGAATTATACGAGTAGATATAAAGGTATCATAACAATCTGTTGCTGTCATGTATCCATACAGCCAGCAAATGCTGTTCACCCGATTCCAGTCCGACATTCGAATAGTCGAGTGACCGATGGCGCTGATAGAGTAGGTTGTATTTACTTTTACATCAGCACTTTTTTATGTTTACGCTGGTCTGTGATGTACCCATTTATACTGAAGCCTGCTTTTGTAGATACCTTCATCTGGACTCCTGATTCATCATTTTACCTGTCCTCGGCATTCTGTTTTCTCCCAATGACTAGCCTTCATAGATGATGAATTATCAACAGCCTTTTGAGTAAGTACTTATTTATTCTAACAAACCACCTAGAACTACTGTCGGCTCAAACGCGAACTCACTTTTCGCTCCGTCCTCCACTGGTGGTGGATACACATCCGATCGGGTCTCTACAGCACACACGTCAGAAACAAAACTTCCCACAAGCGATTCCGAGGCACAGTGGTCCAGGCCACCGGTTAACCCTAGTGCAGTTTCCCCGGAATATTCCCACGGCTACGGTCTGTACCATGATGGCGAGAAAAATCTTCAGTCTACTCCGAATCCTTTGCTAAATGTGCATCGAACGGTCGCACAGCACGTTGCACCTAACCCACCTCTTTCATTGGCGTCTACTCCTCATGTTACCCACCGGCTTCCCGTTTCACACGATCCCATTTCAGTGTCCACAGATCCACAACTGACTCCAGTATCTGGGTTCTCGGTGGTTTCGGTCGATAAAATTACGCTCGATAAACCGGACACAGCACCTCAAAGCATTTATTCAGGCGCCGTTCGCCCTCGAACTTCTCCCAGAACTGCAACAAACGTTTCACAGGCAAAAATGCCGGTTCGATCTACTGGTCTGGAGCAATCAAAGACCCAGCCAAAGAAATCTTCCAGACTACACCATACAACATCAACCACCCCACACAATCAATCACTTACCACAGAAAACTTACTTGCGGAACGTAAGTTCGTTATTTTCCACTAACTATACTTGTTCAGGTGATATACTCTACTTTTTCAGATTTCGTAAATCATGTCGATTGCTACCTTTAATCTGTACCATGCCCCTCTAGTTTCGTTGATACACCGGTCTTAGCAATGTGTGTGGACATTGTTGTTTCAACTTAGGGCTGCATTGTCGTGGGTGGTAGCTTACCGACCTATTCGCGTTACCCATGCCCATACTTCTGTGGTATATGGTTTACGAACCAATCTGCCAGATATAAGAGCGTTTTCTGCCAGATTACTTAGCGTTGCACAAGGTGTTGTTATCGGTAAAGGACTGCATTGGATTTGCAACTACAGCCGCAAATATTGGACTCTTACTCTCATGTAGTAGCCATATTATTTGTCAACTGCCACATTGTTTTATTCTACCAGTCGTTTGTTAATGCCCCATAGACCTAGGATAAGGTGACACTAAAACCCTGCTTTTATGAATTTCAGTACGTTCACCCTCAATTCCCTACCTTAGATCATGTGGAATCAGATGGGCATTGTATTTGCAATTACATGCTTTCTATCCGCAACTCCTGGTTTTATCTGACATAAATTTACTCGTTTTACAAAAAAAACTGCGTTTGTGTTACTGGGGATGGGTGGGACCCCACAAGGACTTGTTGAAATATACCATAAGGCATGAGGAATTGCATCAGGAGCTATTTTCTTGATTGAACCTTAACTGTTAAAACGCGGGTAGATTGGTGCTTTACGCACCATTAGATTAACTAATAGTCAAAGTAGCAGGCATGTGTCGAGACACTGTTTTCCATCAGACGCCGCGTATGAATTATGGTGTAACCGCCACTCGTATTCACTTTTCATATTTAGCGATTAGTAGGCCAGTAGACTATCATGCTTAACTGTCGTAAATGTCGAATAAGTTTCGTGAACATTCTATTACCCATAAGTGCGTACCTATTGCCGCAGCCTACGCCCCTGCAAATTGTATCATTGACTCGGTGAAGGATGATTTTTATCGTCAACTGAACGAACTCCTCCCTCACAAAATGGTATGGATACTGTAATGCTGTCTAGTGATCTGAACGCTCAAGTTGGAAAATTGTCCTTTGATGAGCTACTTCTGAGCGGCTAATACGGTGTAAGCTCACGTAATAACGGTGAGCGGTTGCCCCATCGGCGTGTATATGTTCGTCTATTTTTCGCGAGTGGTACTACCCGACACATCAGCTGGAGAAGGGTGATGTTGCGGCCACCAGCCTCGGATCAGACATGGACACAAACTGATCACTTCACGATCAGTTTCAGTTAGAGGTTGCGTTCCTTTCGCTTGATCTGTAATATAAGCGTGGACTCCGACCATGTATTTGTAGGTGCATATCTGCGGGTGCATTTCGGTGGACGCCTACTACTACGCTGTGAGCGCATAGTCACTTGCCAATCGACGAAGCCGGATGTTCTAACTACGTGCCAAAGTATGCTGGCATCCTAACTGAGTAAGCGCTCACTGAACCCAGTAGAGAGCCACCGGTCGCGTATTCATCAGACGTTATTAGCAGCAAGTATATCTTCGTGTGACATATCTGTTTGGCAGTCTGAACATTGTGTCTATACGTAGTCTGTAACCTTTGAAGGATTGCCAACATGTTGCGACTTGGATCAAGAAAAACTAGGCTCGCAAAGATAGGAGAGCGAAATCCGTGTACAGAGGTCGAATGTGAGATTTGACTGCTGAAGATAAATAAGGCGGCAGAACCAGATGGGCTTCTTCCAGCCGTCCTCAAACTTGGTGACTAGTGTCAAGTGACCCCTCGTGAAGCAAAAATCAAAGTCTGGGCCTCGATCAGAAATCTATTGTTCATAGAACACAGCTCATTTTATATCTCGAGTCATTTAGAACCACACACTGATGTAGAACATATCTCCTTGTTATTACATTCTTGGTCAGCGCTCGAGCTACGTTTATGTCGATCTAAATCGATTACCTACCATGCTTCAATTCGCCACTGCAGCGATCGACCAGCTTTCTTTACTTTTGGCACTAAATCCTTAATCTCGACCTTTCGATAAACAAGCCGTATGCTCAGTGTGGCATCTCACCACCACAACTAGCTCTTGTATACGACTTGCATTATTTATCCGTGAAACTGGGAGCAGGAAACTGTCCCAATCGACTGGAGCCGCTCAGTCGTAGTCCGGATTGTCATGGGATGTTCACATTCAGAATGCGGCAGTTGTAGATGTATCGGTCTGATCTCCATCGCCTCCAAGTTACTTGCCTTCTTCACAGATTGACTGGAACTCGTAAAAGCCAGACTGGTAAAGAGCAAGCGGGGTATCCTCGAAGTCGAGGCTGTATTGTTCTTAGCTTCATGTCAGTTCAGTTGGACCACTATGATCCGGGCACAGAAGTGCTGTGAGCCCAGTTGCCATGGCTCACGTCACCGAAATACCAATTAATAAAATACGGAGAAAATGGGATAAAAACAGAATTGCACAAAATTAATTGTGATAGAATGAAGGTAGACCGATAAATGCACGAAACCGAGTGCAGAAACACCACTGATTGCGCGCTTGCGCCGTGTTTGATAGAGTTTCCAAATACTGGTGTGAACCATCCCGGGGCTCCCATCCACGAAGATGCCGTGCACCGGCGTAACCAAGCCTCTCGATCGGTTTCTCCATGCTTTCATGCCACGTCATCAACTGACCACATCGCGGTTTCACCCAATTTGGTGCAGCAATGGCGCGTGATGCGCGCCGAGGAGGGTAGCCAACGGCCATACAGAGAACATGACTTAGCCAACGTAAGTGGTTAAGATTCAATAGATACTCGATTAAGGCACCAGAATGTTTCTTGTCAAAAACCAGTTGGCGAACCTCAGCACTGCTCACCCGGTATTCCCACCAGCTGTGAGCAATACTTCGCAAGCACCGGTGATAAAATACAGCCAACCGTTTAATCTCCTCACTGCTAACTGGTCAGGTCTCTGGTCCATACAGTAACACCGGCCTTCCAGCATCATTATACACCCTACCTTTTTACTGGCAGACTGATATCGCGACTTCTTCATCTATGGTTTAGCATCTGGAAATCTGCACGAGCATTGCCGATACGCAAACTAACATCCTCAGTGTTGTAGTCACTAGAGGTGACACAGCTACCAAGGTAAATGAATCGTTCCACTTCTGGAGGCTAAAATCGGCGGTGTATTGGTCTAATCCTGCAGCAATACCTTGCACTTTGAAGGTGCAATACACATGCCGAAGCGTGCAGCGCTACAGGCCAGTCTATTAGTAGTGCTTGCACAGCTACTGCGTCAAACCCAAGCAGAGCAATATCGTCCGCGTACTCAAGGTTTGTTAGCCGATCACTTGGCAGAACTTCCGCTCCGGCAGATTATGGACGAACGAAATCACTTATGATCATTTCTATCACAAAGTTGATGAAGCAAGGGGATATAAGACCACCCTGGCGAACCGCACTTGTCGTGGGGAACTCAGGAGACAGTTGCTGTAGGCCCTTACCCGGCTTCGGAAGTCACGGTAGAGAGATTTCAGGATTGACAGTTTTGCGGACACTACATTCGCGTCTAGACAGTGCCACACTGACACGATCAACCTAGTCAAAGGCGACATTGAGATCAAGAAAGACATTCGTCGTCGGCCATCTGTTACCGCGTCTTTGCGACCTACGATAGTCGTGTTCCTCGACATCAAAGGTGCATTCGATCCTGTCTTCCGATGTGACCTTTGGGACTGTTGATTCCGGAAATGTGTGCTGAGAAATACATAAGCATTATCAGGTCTCTTTTTGCGCGTAGTTCGGGCAGGGTGAGAGCATATGCTAAGCTTTCACCGCCACTCAATATGTCCAACCGTGTGAGATAAGAATGCCCGCTGCCACCTTTCTAACTTCGCCATTGACGAAGTCATAGAAGTTGTGTTTACCGGGTAGAGCTGCTTCCAGATTCTCAACTTTTCGACTTACAGTATGTCGATGATATTGATCTCATCTGTGATATCTCACAAGCGTACCAGTTAGTGTTGGATCTGTTGTACTTTGTTTAAGGCTTTGCTTTACGCCCTCCAAATGCAAATTTTCTCCTCATACTGGCAGAGACCACCCTCTGTGATGATCCATGGTGGGAATCAGATAGAAGCCGCTTGGAAACTTAGCTGTCTCGCAGCCATATAAACGACTGTGGAATAGGGGATGAAGTGATAAACCGTATAGCAAAATCCGAGGTGTCTTTGCTCAACTTCGCTACTTCTATTGACGGTGGTACATCACACACCCTGAAGATCTGAGTCTACAAACCGCCTCTTTAACACTGATGTTCAGTAGTGAAATTCGGTTCATCAGATCGACAGACTTAAATGGCCAGTGGCATTCGACCTTCGCTGCCTTCGCAGTTTGGCTCATATCTCGCGGGGACACCGTGTGGGCAATGAGCTTGTTCGGCGTCTTTTGTATGGCGCAGGAAAGGCGGATGAACCGCTCAGCACCATGATTTCATGTACCAGGAACAAATTGTTGGGCCATGTGTTACACATGCCAACACACCGACTCCCGCGACGTGCGTTGTTTGCTCGGCTGGGGTCCTGATGCAAGAAGAAAACGGCAGGACAACCAATAACTTGGTCCGAAGGAATGATGATGTCACAATACTACCGCCAGTTCTATCCCGGCTATCAATTACCTCAGCCTTCCGGGACGACCAGTGGTCAAGCTCCTTGCGCCACTGTTCCCTCCTCAATTCCACTCCTTGCGCAAACCTATTCTGCACCTGGTGCCCGTCAACAATCTGTGTATCCTTCTTCCACTCCGATAGCGCCTGGTAGTGGTCTTGATTACATGTCGTATTACTATCAGTACTATTATGGAGCCAACGCCGTCCCATTTTGGCCACCTCACGCTTATCCTGTCGGCGACCCGACTGGTAGGACAACTCCGAAGCTCTTTCCGACCCCACATATCAAGGCATTACTCTCCTCTCCTGGCCTCCTAGTTCAAGTTAGTATACGTCGTTCTTGCGTTTGCTCATATCTCTTATCTTTCATATCTCAAACGCTTTCCTTTTCCTTTCACAGGTGCTTCCAAACCGGCCTATGGATGGAGAACTGGCCCGGGTTGAACTGGTGGACTTGTCTGATCTAGCCGCTCAGGCGGTTGCGGAGGCAACTAAGCGCCTTTCCGATACTGGCAACGCTAGCACGAACCTTACGCGTTTGACGGAGCTGAGTTTGTGTCGAGATGCCGAAAACCTTCATGATGGGTTCAGTAGCGGTGCCTCAGGCGTGGATTCTCCTGGCAGACTGTCAAGTGTCCAGGTGGTTGGGGGTGGTGATGACGAGGCTGAAGAGGCCAGGGCATGTACTGCAATCGCAATGGCTTGGGATCGGACTGATCATTTGTTGTACCCCGGACCACTCAGTCGGTCCGAAACATTGAAGGCCGACGTTCTTGCATTTTTGCGAGAAAAGCTTGCCGAAATACAAGACCGTCTCCCAATCGATTGGGAATCCGCCGGATTGTTGATTGCCTATTTGGAATCAATGGTAAAGAACAATGGAGTAAGTACTCTTTCTTCGCGCATCGTAATTGTCAAACCTTTTTCGGTGACCCTGGAACTAGTCGGTGTAAATGTTTGATAGCATACCACACTATAGACTTAGCGCTTTTAAATTTTTACCAACATTCTGTGACCACATACTCCAACCT